GCCTCGCTCACGTCCCGCGCCCACCTCCTCCCTGGCTTCCCGCCTCGCGCCCACCGACACATCTCATGGCAGCGCCCTGAGATGACTGGCTAGCAGCGGCACACTGAGCCACGCGGGTGCCCACGCTGCTTCAGGAGCACGCGGTGGGGACGAGCTGCCATCGGGCCCTGCCAGTCCTGTCCGCTCCTCCTCCTGTGTGCCGGGGTGCTGCCGGCAGGGAACGTTCCTACAGTCACAGCCTTTGGGGTGCGCGTGGCCCCAGCACATACATGCAGACCGCAGCCCGGGCCCAGCCTCCTCCTTAAGTAAACAAAAGCCTGTCTGCGTTTGGGGAGGAAACGTTTAAGAAAGGTCTTGGGCGGCAAGTGTGCCTGTGGGTCCCCCAGCAGCTGGGTGGGTGAAGACGGCCCTGCCTGGCACGTGCCCCGGCCGAGCGGCTGGATGGTGAGGACGGCTGGGGCGTGATTCCCGTCAGTCTCCGGCCTGAGGTTTCCCGTGGGGGGATTCCTGGCGGGACTGTGCTCTCTGCTTGCTTGTTTGGCTGCCGGTTTCTCCCAGCCCTGCTCTCAGGGCCCATCTCTGAGGCGTCCTCATGCACCGACGAGGGGTGCGTGTTTCAGGGTGACTGGATCCTGGGAGGTGCTGACCGCGGACGGCAGCAGTAGTTACGAGGCCTCCACCGGAATCTGCAGATAGAACCACGACGGGTCTGTGAGGTCTTCAGGCGGCAAGGACACGCGGCTTCTGCCCCAGGGCCCGGCGTCCCCACATTCTGGGACGGGCCGAGTCCAGCGCCTCTGACCTGGCAGGTGCTGGCGGGGGTGGGCGTGCCCGGCGGGGAGCAGCAGAGGCGGCCTTCCTTCCCGCCAGGCGGCCGTGGGGAGCCAGGCAGCGTCTGGTCAGCTGCACCGCAGGGCCCTGCGTGCTGCCAAGAGGGGCTGGGCGCCTGGCCTGCCCTTCGCCCGTGCCACCGTCACACTTGCCGCTGGGGAAGAGTTCTGTTTCTAGAGCGCGCTGCCGGTCAGGGCGTAGAACGGGGACTGGAGTTCCTGTGGAATCGTGGTTCAGAGGAAAGTGCCACTGGCTGCAGAAGGAACGCGAGCAGGCTGTCCCCAGGCGTGGGTATTCTGCCGCGTGCCGATCCCGTCAGCAGGGGTCCAGGTCAGCAGTTGTGCGTCCCTGAGAGGAGCACGCAGCCCCAGAGGGCGCAACTGTGTCTGGCCGAGCCCGTCTCCCTGCCCGTGCGGGTGTGAAGTTCTCCATGCGATCGTCCCTTTTCACGAAGGCCCAGGCCCCGGGGATGGCAGGGCGTGGTTCGGGCACCAGGGGCTGCTGCAAGTCTCAGGCTGGGCTCCGCGGTCTGTGCGCCCCGCGTCCGAGAGCGTGCAGCGGAGCTCTCCGCTTTGTCAGGCGGCACCTGGGAAAGCCCCCATCCCAGGGTCTTTCCATGAACTTCGCAGTCAGCACACCAGTGACAGGGCCTCTGCCGGGGAGCAGTCCCCGCCGGGCGGTCTCCACCTGCTGGGCCCAAGCTCCCCGGGGCAGCCTCTCCACCCCATGCTCCATGTCCACAGACGGGCAGGTGACATGCTGGACGTGGGGCTGCCAAGACCTGGACGACGTCCTCACGCGTAAGAGAAAACAGAGCTGCCGCCGTCTCACTTCACGCTGGCGCGTCGAGCGTCTGAAGGCGGCCTCCGCTCCGGCAGCGTGAACGGCAGCCTCCAGCAGGCCCTGGGCACCGCCCAGCCGGAATCCCCGCCTGGTCCCAGCACATCGTAAACCCAGAAACGGCAAATAGCCGATGTCAGCCCCGGGGGCCCTGGGCCTGAATAGGGGGGTCACAACGCTCAGTAAAAATGGCCCCAACGAGCAACGGTGACCTGGGCAGAACCAAAGTCCTCCCCGTCCGAAAGACGTTCGTGTGAAACGCAGGCACCCAGAGGTTAAATTCTGAATGAGTTTGGTAATTTTCAGAGCTCATGATTATTCAGCAGATTAAATTAAGGCCCCGGAGGGACTCTGACTACGGCACTGGTTTCTCAGCCAGGTACCACGGCCAATTCGTCTCTTTACTAATGTGTCCCCTGAGCTCTTCAAATACGGTTACGCTGTCTGCTCCTCATGACATTAAAGGTGCAGCCCAAACAAGGTGCCCGGGGAGTGCCAGCCGCGTCATCTACCTGCCATGAGGCCCAGCCGGGGCTGGCGGCTCCCGGAGGCCGGTCAGAGGCCAGCAGACACCTTTGGTGGACAGGAGCGAGCTGCCATCTGCCTGCTCGGCCATCAGTGTCTGCCAGTGACGGCCTGCTCGGCCCCCCGGGCACTGGCATTAGCTCCCCCATCTGTCTGCTCCCTGGGGCTCCTCCTGGAAAAGTGTGTGTGTGGCCCCCACCTGCGCTGGGGGCACCAGGACACACACAGGAAACACGATATCGGACGCCTGCCAACAGCACCAGGACCCACATTCTCACCATAAGGGGATGGCGAGGGGACACAGCCTGAAGCCGTCGGGCCGGGCCCCACCCCTGCCAGTCTCCCCAGGGACGTGGCTGAGCGGGGCCTTGGCCCTCAGACGTCCCTCCTCGTACGCAGCTGCTCCACACCCACGAGGTGGCCTGATCCTCACAGCAACGTGCTCGCCCTGCCAACCACGTGGCCAAGGTCTGCAGGGCCCGACACAAGGCCATCCCAACAGGCTCTCTTTGGGAATAAACTCGTGTCACTTAACTGAGTTAAACCCACTCTGCCTGCTGGGGGGGGGCACCGCACAAGCCCAGGGACACGACGTAGCGGGAAGCCCCCGGGGCAAAGCCACCCTGCCGACTCAGAGCCAGGAGGGGACGCCCCGGACAGGGCCTGACCGCCGGCCGGAGGCTCAGGGACACACACACGTGCTCTGCCAGCCTGGCGCTGGGGTGTGTCACAACACGGGAAACGGAAACGCCACCTTTCAGAGGCTGAGGCCACAGTGCCTGCTGTTCCCGTGGCCCCCACAGCAGCTTCAAGGCACAAACGCACTGCGAGTGCGCTTGCGGGTAAACACACTTCTGGTGTGGGTTTCCACGGAAACGAGCCCCTCTGTACATCCGAGCCACCCAGGCGCCGGCTCCTGCCTCCCCAAGTGAGCGAGGGAAGAAGGCGCACGACGCCGGCGCCGCCCCGTCTCCACGCCACCGGCAGCAGTTTCCTTCCGGGCCTGACACGCGCTGTGACAGTGTCCGGTTACCTTCTCTGCGTCCGCCGTGCCGGTCTGGGTGGCAGGGGCGCTAACTGGAGACCACGGTGCACCGCCAAGCAGGGCCGCATCCCCCGGCGGTGCGTTTGCGATCTGCGTTTGTTGCAGCCGGTGCCGCGTGGAGGGTCGGCTGTGGCTCACAGGCCGCCGCGAATGGCTCCCGCCCCGCACAGAGGCAGCAGGCGCGCACGACGCAGGGAAGCCACCAGCTCAGCTCCGGCCAGCGTCTCACTGACGGTGCCTCACAGCGTCTGCCGGGAATGGTGACATCAGGAGTGTCCTCGAGCCCTGGGGAGGGTCCGTCCCAGCACTAGGACGCATGGCTCCATGAGCCAGGCTGCGGTGTCTTCCCGCCCCAGCCACATGCAGACGACGGAGCCGGAGTAAACGCAGACCATGAGAGTGGGCCAGGCTCTGCCCTGGGACCCCCATCCCACCTACAGCCCCTGCAACGGCACTCTGTGGGCCAAAGAGCACTCCGGTACATTCCTGGCCTCACTTGGAGAAACCCCAAGCGTGGCAACGGGCTTCTGTCCCCCCACGGCAACGGCGGGCGGAGGCGCCTTCGATGAAGCAGCCTGGACGGCTCGTCCTGTGAGCACAGCAGAGGCCTCCTGGCTGCCCACGTCCCCTCTGGCAGGGCCGACCACCGTTCCGCTTCGCCCACCGGACGCCCCTGCCTTCCTCAGGTCTGTGCCTCGTGTGCACAAGCCCCAGGGCCCATCCCCACGGTCCTCAGACTGCGGCCCTGCCACCATGCGTCACACAGCCGGTTAGAAGTCAGTGTGCACCTGTCCCGTCTCACCCACACGCCCTCTGAAACCTCAGAACTTGTCCCTTGAGATTGAGCAGCACACACCCAGA